TGGAACTACTTGCTGAGTAATAGAGCAGTTAAAAAGCATGTTTCCCTTCTCAAAGCGCTCTTGCAGAACCGGATTAAAACACGTAGTCATCTTTCGCCTTTTGTTATCTCTACTGTGGTTCTGATAATGTTACCTTCACGTTTTTCTTCATCTTGACCATAGATAACTTTCTACAAAATGGTTTTTCTAGTATTCGTTAATCCGTTTTTTGAAACATCCTTATTTCTGCTTGCATGCGGTGCGTGGCAAATCATGCGAATCAAAAAACTGTATTGAATAAGGGCCAAGTCCTTTATCGTCCAACAGATATGTTCTCCAATCGGTACCTCTCTCACCATCACCTCCGTCCCGATTTGTTTCCACCAGGATGAGCGTCATATGTGGCGCCCACAGCCAGATCCGTTCTACGACTACGAGGCCGAAGAACGCGATGTTCGAGCCGAGGAGGAAGCGAAAAATAAGGCCAAGGAAGAAACCACCCCATACTTGTCCCGCGTCATCTTTCATCCATTTTTCAAAAATATCAGTTACGACAAGTTGGCCGCAATGGAACCCGAGATGGAACCAGGCACTATTGTGATCCGTCCCAGCCGAAAAGTATGCATTTTTTGAATAACGTAGTTTCTGTACTTTACACTGAACAACCCGTTTCTCATGTTTGTTTAGTTATCTGTAGAAGTTATTGGTCGAAAGCGTGTTAGTTAATAACTGAAGCAAAAGAGCTTATGAAAAATCGGTTTGGTCTATCTGGGGGGCGATCGTTTGCAACTAGATTTATTTAGCAAGCGGAGAACATTTAAAGTTACCCGGACTTGATTACTTCGGAAGGCTTGTTGACGTATTTCATCTTAATTGGCTTGGATTGCTCTCGTTAGTCGGCTCACGGCAATGTAATCGTCAACTGGAGCTTTTTGGTAAATTATTTTTCACTTTCTCATCTACTCAGTTTAAATAAAGACTCCATTTATTGGCTTTTAGGGCACAGATCATCTGACCGTAAGTTGGAAAGTGGATGATAGCATAATGCAACACATTGATGTTTTGGAGAAAGAAAAAACCAACAATTTTTCTCTTGGACGATTGTTGATAATTGGAGATGAAGAATTCGAGGATCTGGACGAAATAGTCGCACGACACGTCCAACCTATGGTCTCACTTGTTCGCGATATCATGTCTTACCGATATTACCGAAACTCAATGGTAAGTACATTTGTTCCCGTTGCTGGTTTTAGAAAATTCAGATCTATTTAGTCAGAATGCATTGCTTCTCAAAGTGGATGCTGCATTTTCTGAAGAATTTCACACAAACACCGGGTAGTAGAACCAAAATGCTTGTGACGTTATCGATAAACCTCCGATGCATTATCTAGGCCTTGTAGCAATATAGTAAGACGCTAGTCTTCATCTGTTCACCGATCTAAGTAGTTTCTTTGCCCACGTTTCATCCAACCAGTCAAGGTAACATTTTCAATGCTTATGTTATAGCCTTGCCACAAACTGTTCAGATCGATGAACGGGTGAAAATATATTCAGTCGACTTTCACTGTCTGTATATAGTGCAACGTTCTTATCGAAACTAAACTAAGACTTCTGAGGCGACTGTATTTTTAGTCTAGTACGAGCAATAAGATCTGTCTTGAGATATAGTCGGCATTGGTGACCGTGAAAACTCGCCAGTTCATCATCATTGTATAGCAGAATACAGTGAAATGAACTTCATTATTTCGCTTCCAAACTGGCAATGTGTACAAAGTTGGTGGGAATGTTTAAGGTGCACAGAGATAGGGCTAATTTCCAGGGAGGGAAGAAAGCGAGTCTCTATGGCCAACACAGAGTGCACTGTCCAATTGTGCATACACTGTATATAAAGTATTCTGGTCTGATAAAAAGTGACAACAGAGACGCCACTGCTGTCGTTTCGATGCCGTATCCTTCAGTGTAACTAACCAACCATTCTTGGATCCCAGACCTGATACACATACTCTGCCTGATCCCTCTGCATTATTTTATGTCTCATCTCCACGTCATCTGTTGACCTCCACGTGTTTGTCTCCAACTCGGAGCGGCTATAGTGAATGAGGTGCGGTACGGTAGACGACTGTTACACATACGAAAAAAATGGCCTAAGCAACGGAGACTAGTGAGCTGAATTCGATGCGATAACGAGTTCTTCTTCGATGAATTCCCAAATACCCAACGACTTGCATCTAGGTTACTAACCCGTTCACTTCATCCCACCTGGGCCAGATTACGTTAGCATCGATTTTCTAAAACCGTTAGCCGATGGGTGTCTCCTATCAGCAAATTCAAGGCTTCACAATCATAAAGAAGAACTAGTCGTACAGTGGTGCATTATACGTAAGTTAGTAATAGAGCTTACGACGTTATCACCCTCCATCTAGAAAAGTGCAACAGAAAGCCTGTCCAGCCCTGTTGCCTTTCCTCGCTTTAGAGCTTAAATTCGAGTTCGAACTTCTGCTACTGTGTATGGTTCACAGAACACTGTTCACAAAGGTTCATTCACATGTGAAGTAATCTGGCTGGCACCAGATTAGCTGAACTGTTCGCTGAAGTACTCCATCCACCGGTCAATCCGTTGTTCCCTACGGTAAATACCTTGTCCCCTTTCATCAAAGATTGTTTCGCCCATCTACCCCGCTGTGTTGCCTATCAGTTGGAACAGACCTTGACTACTCCCTTATGCAGCGGCTGCTTGCATTTCACTAACTATTTTTGCCCGCTAGTTTCCATAGCCCTTCTCGAGGCTCCGTGAACTAACGTTGCAGACGCCACCCAGCTTTGTTTTGATCGTGGCAGGTTATGATTCGTCGTTTTTCTCTATCAGTGCTACGGACTCGTGACACATCCAATGCCTCGAACGGGCTTGAACATTAGAACCACAAGCAACATTCGCTGCGGAATGCATTGCTCGTCTAATCTGACCCCACCGCTCATCTACAGCATCACGTTGCGGCGCCCTTAGTTGTTACACTAACTCTGACTCATAGCGTGCACGAACTGCTGGGTCAGAGCTAACCGATTTAGCTATTTTTGTCGGTGACCAATAAGTTGGAGCGCGAATCACATCAAAACAAATGCGTGGTCAGACTCAACGTACATGGCCCAATGATACCTACCGTTTTATACTGACCCACACTGCTATGTGGTCAATTTGAGTTACCGCATCCTATGAATGGGAGCGCCATTTTGCCGTTTGTTGAGAGCTGTGTCGAAAGCTGGCACTGGAAACGAATAGATGGTGGTCTGCACAGAACTAAAGAAGTCGATCGCCCTTATCTGTTTGCTGGCAGAACAGAGCACAGCGACCGCCTAGACAGGCTTCCGATGCGCGTTAAAATAACCTTCCTGCTCAACTATGTCGGGGCTCAGCCGAATGAGTTTGTCGTAGCAATCGACTTTTTGTGTATCAGAACTGCAGTTGGTCGGTGCATATGCTGAGATGATGAACCACCACCTTTCGGTGTTACTTCCCTCCCGAATGCTAATGGAACCCTGGAGCCTTACCGCACATGGACGATTGTTGACGGAGATCAAATCGCTAAGAGAGGCGTCGGCTTTATTATTAAGTGCAATACCACCCGCGCTGCCCTACTGAACGAGCTTCCCCCTCGCCTAATGTGCAAAGGACGTACCTCGAGGACAAATCCGGTGCACTCAAGTTCCTTATACCATGTAGTGGGGTCCTGATTCCGAGCCTCCAATAAGCAACAAACCTTTGATTACTAAGGAGTCCATTGTACGCGCCAGACGAGCTCGTTGACCCACCCATCAGAGTCCTCCTGTTTAAAGCCCCAGATTCAGTGATAACGAGGCTTCAGAATCGGCAATCTATTTCGTGGTAAACTTGCAGTGCTATTTGGCAACAATCTTTGACGAACGATAACCAAGTTACTTGAGGGACTTTCATAGGTCGGAAGAAGGGAGAAAAGGAGGGGGCTAGGTATGGAAGACAGACTTAAACAAAAGTCAGAATTTCTGAGCAGCAGCCCACTACACGGCGCGGTCCTGATTATCCTGCACGACAACCGATGCAATATGGAATTGTTTTTAGTTTGTGGATGGGTACCGATAAGGCGTCCGACCACCAAGCAGGGGAACGCTTAGGGTTCTCAACCAATGTCTTTGGTTCCAACAGGAATTCAATCGCTGTGCAGCGCGTGAGGTAAAGTGGTGGTCTATTCATTTGGATCGGTTGCTTCACCATTCTGCCCACTAAGACGCCAATTTGAGCCTAACCTCCAACCTGGAGGATCAAGAGACTGTACTTTGTCCAACCTCTACCCTCCAGGTAGGATTAGACCTTTGGCTTACCAAAAACTATCCTGTACANAGGGAGATGTACAAGCCATTAAACCACGTCGAAGATCAGTCTCATTGCTGCAACATGCAACGGGTAATCGCTCTCTCTATCTCCTATCCGACGATGAAGTGAATCCAGCTTCCTTCTAAGAGGTTCTCCGGGCTCTGATTCATCTTGAAGTTGGCAAAACTTGTGGCTCACTTCCTGCAGTTATTCATACCGAGAGCCTATGCTAATCAACCTACACTTTCTCGACAAAAGTATTGCACCCCCTCCCTAGATTTTTGGATTATCGTCTCCTAGATGCATTATAATCAGTATTTTTGAGAATCTGTAACTTCAAGTAATCTACCTAGATGTCTTTATTCTTTTATTGTCACCGAGAGTGACGTGAGCATATGGCCACCGTCACTAATGCCACATGACTGTAGCTTACACCAGCCTGGGAACCACTGACTCACCACGATTACCATCCCGAATTACCAAGTCGAGATGTTCATCGTACTTGTTTCAAAACCGAATCAGGTGTATAAAGTCCATATGGAGTGCAATACTTTTGTCACCATATAAATTCTGTTTTTGAGACATTTTAGGTTAAATTAAAGATAATTTGGTGAAGTTTCGTGTTTCAGCCTTCCATTTGGTTGTCATCTAGGTACTCGAAACTGGTGATGATCGTGCATGTGGGAATGCAAATAATCTAAAAATCTGGGGGGGGGGTGCAGTACTTTTGTCTCCTTACGTATCACACACTGCTTGGTTACAAAGTGATTGCTATTTGTTTGAGATCTCTTTGGATAATATTTGTCCAAAAACAGGGTCTACAAAGTACGTACCTCTGTGCTACTGATTTTTTTTGTTGAATTCCGTTGAACCATATTGCGCCATTTTTAGATTTCAGTTGCTCTATACGGTTGGCTTACCGGTATCTACTCTTAATGTCGTTGCCTACGTACACTATATGACATCCGTTCTAAACAAAGATTCCGGTGCCTCTCATTTAACACTCTTAGATCAAATCACCACTTTAGGATTACTTGATCACCAGCTACTTATTCGGTGTGTTTCTGATTGCCGCCTATGTATTGAACGTTATTGTATACTAATATCCGATAGTAACCTGTTCACTTATTGGACCGGCAAAAATCCTCTTCTTTACCCACCAAGTCCTATATTCTTCATTGTTCTCTGACGTTTCTACTATTTTCTCGCGTTAGAAGAGACTGGGTCCTATAGGTCCCGTTAGGCTCCCTGGGTGGGGACCCCGAGATCATGGTAGAGCTGATGGTAGATCATGGTTAGAGACCCTGAGAGAGTATTAGACAGCTGTCACCCGGTTCTATACCACACCTGACCTATCGGGGCTTTATGTGGTTCGCCACTCCAAGTCTCGGAGATCAGGTTGCCGGTTGCCATCACTGAACAGCATGTCTTCGTGACTATATGGCTTTCCTCGTCTGCTGTTCATCACACACTGGTGTGTAATGAGAAATAAAAAAGTGTCTCAAACAGTGGCGCTCGTTCATCTACTCATTATTCTTGCGAATCATGTTTCTGCGCTTGGCGATTGCAGTCAACTGTCGCATGTCCGTCTCCGGTATCAAGACGGAAGAAAATTTCCGCACTTACTTTGGTAATTCCTCCCAATATGTGACTACTTTTGCCTTATTTTCCTCCAATTATATGCATGAGATGCAACTCTCCGTAATAAACATCCATAACGGTTCACCAAAACTTTTCTGGACATGAATTTGGCCTCCTTTTTCATATTATATTTACTGACTTGTCAACACCACTCCACTGGTAATAATCGACATATTCTTCTCTATTCCTTTCAGGGCGGAGACCGTGCATTTCTCGGGTCTTTGTTGCAACAGGAGAAACAAGACAATCCCGATCGGATACCTTATTTTCTCAGTTCCACCAAAGAACGACCCGGATACTTCATTCTCGCCTACATGCCTAATAAAACTCCCCATTACGAACTGTTTAGCGTCCGTCCTGAAGGATTTCGTTTCCGTCGCTTAATTTTCCCCACGCTAGATCGGATGATTACCTGGTTCAAGGAACATTATAATGATGTTGTAAGTTATGCGGGGTACCGATTGACCAAAGATATCAATTTCCTGTGAGGATGTTTATTTTATTTTTTTTTGCTAGGTCCTAACTGTTTTTTGTAATCTTTGTTTACCTTGATCCACGCAAGTGTTTATGATTTCAAGAAACTGACCCATCATTGTGTTCTTTTCGTACGTGCTGATAGAAGTGACTCGGTGTAAAGATATTAGAAAATTAGCCTCGTTTGGAGTCCAAAAATGGGAATTATCGTTGATTAGAGACGCTGGGAAAGATAGCTCGCAACAGAAATCAGTGACTTCAGTGTCTTACGGCTTATCCGTTAAATCGTCTTGGAACGCAGAACAATCAAAAAGTATACGAAACACGAAGCCTGGTATACGCCAGTACCAGCGTCCCAAGCCACTCTAAAATCGATACCTGGCATAGTCAAAACAAGGTAAAGCATCCTGCATGTTGAAATACAGAAGCTGTCAATTTTGGTTGATTACTTTTAATGTTTACATTTCCAAGCGATGTGCCGGATGCTCCAACAGATTGGAAACACTGCTGAGTGGGAAATTTGACTGTGGTTCAGTTGCACTTTAATCCGGCAAAACTAGGTCTAACGGTCAAGCATGTTCGCAACTCACAAACCAGTGCNCCCCCCCCCCTTCCTGAATCATCTGTGTATCAAGCGAAGGAACGTCGCAAGCATTGCTGCATTATTTTCCAACTCCTTCGTGGTCACTTATTCCTGAACCCATTTGTTATCCTAACCGATCGTTTCTGAAGAAATATTCTGCATTTTTCACAGTTGAAGCGGCCGATTTTCGCTTTGGCAGATAGATGTGCTTGAATTCTTCGCATGTTTCCCAAAAGCTCAAACCTGACGCCTTCAGCCGAATCAGTTGCGCTTTGTCATTTTCTGTTAAATCCCTCTTACAAAATCTGTGACTTGCCTTGTACGACCAGCGAAAGGCTAAAACAAACTGGTGGACGTTCCTTCACCACATGAGTAAATGATTCCACTGTGTGTTGGGGAAGGGGGTAAATGGGCAACTTCACCACAATCAAATGTTCCATTCAGCAGTTTGTTTCCTGTTGGAACACCCGGTACATCACTTAGAAATGTGAACATCAAAAGTAATCAACCAAAATCGACAGCTCTTGTATTTTCAACATGCTGAATGCTTTGCCTCATCTTGAGTATGCCAGGCATTGTTTGTGGAGTAGTTTGCATCGCTGGTACTGACGTGCACCAGGCTTCGTGTTTCCACCATATAACTGTTTAGCCCACAGATTACCGAAACAAAACCAGGCACTGCTGACAACAAAGTACTGCATGTGGATACTTCTCATCACCTATCGAACAACCCGACCTGAAACATCATGCATCTTCGACAAATTGTGCCACAACCTTTATCCTTCTGAGGTGTGCCATAGCCTATGAAGACTCGTCCTAAGGGACTTGATGAGGGACGAAGAACCTTGACCTCGACAATGCGGGTTGAATAGGTATAGTTTATCCGTTAATGGACTCTGGGTAATACTTCTTCTAATAATGTGTATCACTAAGGGCTTTTGCGGGTTGTCTCCCGCGGAGTAGTAAGAGTGAACGATCAAGTAGGTAAAAACATCCAGAGATAAACTGCTGATCGCAACGTACACCATCTTCTTTTTGTCCTATCAAAATGTGATATGCGAATGGTGCTAGTTCAGTATCCTGGAGTATTTTTCGAGAAAAAATATCTTGTACATTTTTTAGATATCCTAGTCTAATCTATTCTCCCCGTTTCAGGCTGGTGGAAACTATATCCGTGAACGAGATTTCACCACACGGTCACCCCGCGTGCCGCGAACACCACAGACCGCTTACACGCACAATCCTTATGTTTTATCGATGCAGGACCGGTAAACTCCCTCCATGTATACTCAGATCTGCTTGTATCTCGGTCCAATGAGGTTCGCGCCAATTAGAGACCCAAATGTCTTTGGATCACTCTTTCTTGTTCGTCCCCGTGATCCCTTTGCGATTCTATTCGCTTTCCATTAACTGTAAATACATTTCTTGATGGCGTTTCTCTCATACACTTTTTCCCACTCTCTCGTATACCTCAGGCTGGCGATAGTTCTAGACAGCGGGAAACAATCATTCACAGCCAAATATCTAACTAGCTTGGATACGCAGTCCTCTCTTTATTTAAAGAATTTGGAATCGCTTTTTATCAGTGCTCGTTTTAATCTCAGAACTGGTAATCCGGTCCGGTAGGACTAGCACTCGCGAGATCAGTTAGCGGTTCTGTACAGCTATTCCGCGTTTAATCGGATTGGTCTTATCACACCACCTGCGAATACCTTTTTAGTGTGTATGCGGTACACGTGCCCGTCCACTATTTCCCCAGCGGTTGTTGTTCGTGTATATTTTAGGGGTGACTGACTAATCTGCTAGTTATCATAATCCGGGATAAAGGCCTGAAAAACATGACAGTCAGTCTTAACTGCCTCGCCATACACTTTTTGCCACCTGATAGTTTTACAGAAAGATTGAGGTTTTGTTCCGGGGTGCAGAAACACAGTACTCCTCCTCGCGAGCAGTTATGGTCGGGAACGGCCGAATTTATTCATCTTCTGGAGAAACGTTCATAAGAAACATAATATGGTGATACTAAGAAAATAGGTTGGCATCATCCACCTACCTTTTGATGATATCATTAGTGTTACTAGGTGCTACTCACATTTGTTAGTAGTATGGTTGGTTTACGCAAAAGGATGCGATTGGCGGTTTTTCACAGTGGTCAAGAATGAATAAAACCTAGAACGATCTACTGTGTTCAAAATTGTAACTACAGAAAATGTACGTCTACCGCCGGACCGCTCCATTGTAATTCTCCTTGCTCGGGGGAATTATGATGACCTGCTCCAAATGAGAAGTTTTGTTGTGTGCATGTCAATTTATTGATACCCGTGCCATTGTTCGTAATAAACAACTTTCCTCGTCCTAGTTCTATGTTGTGGATATATAACGTTAGTAACCGTTGCGATTTAAATAATAGTATAAATAACTTTCGGAGACGAATTATTTTATCGAAATGAAATCTTTCTTCATACACAAACTTTTTTATCTGTGGGATAAATTGAACATTTTGTTTTTATTCCGTGCAGAAATTCCTTCTGCAATTCTCACGCACTGCGTGTAGTGTTTGCGAACATTTCAGTTTTAAAAAACTATACATATCAACTGTCACGCGGAACATATGTCACGGAGAAAGAGACGCTTACAAATAGGGTCCAAGGTAAAGATGAAGTTCACTTTTCTCCCTCTCTGCCTGTTGTTTCATGATCAAGAATACACTCCGACTGTCGTTTTCTCAGCAGTGTTCTTTCACCAATTGTTGGGGCCTAGACAAAGAGGCGTACGTATCGATCACATCGTCTTGACATCAAGACATAACAAATGGC